GCTTGTGCAGTGGGAAGGGGTTGGGGAGGGACATTGGTGGACGCTGAACTGCGCGGGCAAATGATACTTCCCGGTTGCCCAGGCCGAGGAAGGGGGTTTGGGTGATGTACCCCAACTTGAGCAACTTCAGTAATTTTTCGGAAGTTGTGAGCCACAAATGCACTTCATTAGCATCTAGAAACCTTCACAAACATGGAGTTTACTTGCTTGCACCTCGAATATCACCAGACTTTGCTGAGGTTGAAGCAACACTCTTTTGTTTCTGTTAGTTTTCAATGTTGAAAACACTGAATTGACCTTATTCGTCAGACCAAAACAGCGAAACGGGGTATGACGCGGGATAATCGCATCGCGAATGATTTTTTTGAAGCGAAATGGCACGAAACATCAGGCAAACGAAGTCAACATGTGCAATTTGAGGTTGGAAATATCAATTAAATCACACCTGGATTCACCGCCTTTACAAAACGGATTTAAAAGAGTGTGCATAAAATTCCGCGGGAAGAAAATATAACTGACCATTGAGTCTGTGGCAATTATGGATGGCTGATTGCCACTCCACAGATTCGGCTCGAACTGCCGTGTAACCAAGCGATGTAGTCCAACGGATAAAGGTAAAGATGCGGTAAGAGGAAGATTGAAGGTATCAGCCCACTTTGATGCCACTTCGCCCGCACCGATAAATAGAGGCTCAAAAGGGTCCAGTGGTGATTTCACCTCAGTGGCTGAGTAGTTGTGTTCGCCTGCAAAGGACAGCAACATGGTAATATTGATTCTACTCTTAAATTTGGGTTAATCGGAAAGCAAGAAATCGCACCAGTATGACAAACAGAGTCGTCGAATCCAGTCTGTTTCGGAGAGTAGAACATACACTCTCGAGTATATTGCCGAGAGGTTTCTTTAAATACGAGATAAAATGGCAGAGGAATATCGGTGAATCACAACAGACATACCGGTACTGATTGACGAAGAGGTCAGCCATCCGAATAAATCTACCAGCCATTGCAATGAGAGCTGAAGGCTTTCCAAAAATGCTGAAGTGGAGGTATCTTTTACAGACTCTCGGAACATTGGCACAACAGACCGATAAGCCAGTGGGTCTGAACCAGGCGACGGTGTCATTTGTTCTCCCTACATAAACCAAGGAAGTTAGAAACTACTCCATTTCAAATGTAAAAACATTGAAGCCACATATCATCATAGCTAAACTACTGTTAAACTCTCGGGTAAAACGAAAAACGACGCGGAAAATTTACATGCTTAGTATTACCCTGCAACGAAAGACTTAAAGTGTGCGCAGGTCCAAAACTCAGTTGGACAGTCTGGGAAAAAGAGCAATATTGACATAGATTTGGAGCGAGAACCAATAATGTTACGTCAACAGTAGACAGTCACAAAAGTTGCAAATAAATCCGGACGTCCATAGTTTCCTTCATGTTTCCTACCGAGGCATGAGTATCCTACAGTTTCGTTTACGCCAACCTTAATTTGGCACCGAACACGACGATATTCCGGGTGAAAAATTAACTGGCGATTAGTAATGTATGCTCCAGCCGCCGCGTCTTGTGGTGCCGGGTCATCACACTGTTGCCTATTGGCTTCGTTGGGAATCCGACGAGGATGATTCCATCTTACCTATGCCTTATCACTCCTTTTTAATATTATGGGTTATAACAAATACGTACTTGGGTTGTATCTCCCTTTGTTGCCTTCCATCGCATACACGTGTCACTAGTGACTTCTTGTCGACCCACTATATACATTCAAGTTGCACGCCGTCTGCTCGAAAAACAATCAAGTAAGAATTAACTCCAACCATAAAACAGCCAACACCATGATTTGGTTTATGCGACTCCTGATGTGTACCAGTGTGGCCTGAATGTTCACACTGCTACAACGCTGTCAGACTGGCCTGAACTTCAAACAATCAACAAGACCCTGCGGGGTATCAACTGGAAAATATAAGCTGTAGATATTGACCTCTCTGGTTCAATAACTAGATCATCGACAAGCGATCCTATCTTTCTGTTCCTCTGTTCACCGTCAGGCACATCGGGTCATTCTACAGTGTTTCTCTTTTGAATCCTGACAGGTATGTATTTTGTAGCACGCGAACTAAAGGAGTGTGATATTAACTCATAGACCATATGGGGAGCGACAGCTACAGTACCAAGTCAAAACTGACAAAGCAAGTCGGATGGAGATACGATAGAAAATCCGACTTCCCCAAAACAGTTCGAGTTTCATTTACCTGTAGAGTTGTCCTCCCTGACTAGATCGCCCGTTAGGATTGACTACTACTTTGTACGGAGTAAACTATACCTTTAAGAACTACGCATATTTTAAATCAATCAAAAACAGTTAGTTCATTAATCTCCCGATTTCGTAATCTCATATTAGAGTAATTATTGTGAGATTCTGGGTCAGAAGAAATAAAATCGAATGACACTTCACCGGAAGGTCTGTAAACACATAGAGACTAGTTAACACTTGATCGACGGAAGCATCGACAAAATCAAACATCCGAATTTGGACAGCATTGTCGCAATGTGCGCCACAAGACAACACGAAAGCTGACGTCTCTGCTCAATGCTTCACATTCGCACTGAAAGAGTCAGGAACAGTAAAAATACTGTTAAACGAGGAAAGAAAATTGATATAGTAGATGATCAAAATACATCAAATTTTCATGAAATGATAAAACTACTGTAAGTCACCAGTTTCTCCCATTCATTCGGCATTTACGAAACAGTGCACTGAAAAAGGCCCTGGACAATTAGGTTGCATGCAAATCTGTTCATAAGACTGAATTGTCAAGACCATCCTACTAAGACAAAACACAATGAAATGTGCAACACATTTATGAAAATACAACCACTGGAAAGACAAATTACTTGGAGGGCATCCGTAAGTCCGTTCACAAACGCAAGATATGCCATTAAGATTTGCCTGATCCCTTCGAACTGAATAGTACCGGCTAAAACAGAAGGAAGGCAAACGAAAGAGAAGACATTCACCATGATTGTGAACTGCAACATAAGAGTGCCTTAGCAGAGTAAAGCTTGCGACTAGGGAGCATATGTGTCTGAGTTTAATGCCCATAGAACTCCATCTATAGCAGTATATCTTACAGAGGGTTAGCGAATTTCACGCCGGACATGTAATCCCGTCCACTACTGAGATGAACGTTTTGCCAGCTAAAGAACGTTCTAACTACAACGCCATGAGAACAGCTAGCTGAGGGGGAATGTGTAGAGATACCGTGCACGGGTAGTGAGAGAAAAAAAGCCTTGCGTGCTCAAGATACCATTAGCACAAAATGTCTTGCAGATAAAGTTTGGCTGGATGGATGATATATATACAGACAGATATTAGCTGCATTCCGAGCCCTGCAGAGTGACCAAACAGAGGAATGTATGGGTAGACAGTGAAGCGTGTGGGATGTACCTTGTAAGTCGAGAGCACAACCAAAGCCCGTATGCGTTGGGAATTTTCTTCTCGGTTGAGACTGATTACCAGCACCTGCCCACCACCAGAGCAATGCCATTTCCTCGATGCAGCCTTGCAACTGAAAAATCCAAGATTGAAATGACCCAATGTGTTTCTCTGGCATAGATTGTAGTATTGAAGGGATCAGGGTATCCTTGTAAAGCTGAAGAAGTGCTCCTGTTCGAGACATCGGAGAATTCCAGAGGCAACTGCAGAAGTGACATGTATCCGGAACGTCGAATGAATTGACTAACGTTAGTTTCCTCAACTTTGCGGAGACACTCTCAGCAACTGAGTGCGAACGATTATCTGGGAGTGAAGAAAAATGTTTTAATGATCGTCACACTCCATTCTTCGAACCATAAATTTTGGAAACAAACTTACATTGCGAAACAGTCTCACGTAATGTACTTAGGATAGATCGGAGGCGTCTCAGTTTGTCACCAGCTCCTAGCGACATTTGATTTGGGTTAGATTTCAGGTGTGCAAGAATAGATGAATACCAATTCCAAGCCAGTAATTCACCTCGCAGAACAAGCGGTAGGTCCGAAAACACGAGGTCATAGAGTTCTACTAGAGACAAAGGAGCACGGGACAAATCCCATAGCTCTCCGTGGGCCTCTGCAAACCAACTGGTCAATTGTCGTGCAAGGACACAGCGTTCGCGTAAGCAGGCATTCGTCAGTCCGTTGAGAGACCGGGAGACATTGAGTTGATGTAAATGTGTAAGCATGGACGAAGTTTGCTCATTGTGCAACCAGCGGTAAAGTTTAGCAGACTTTAAGTGCAGGGTATCCGCGGGACAAATCGCATTCAAGGAAATGGACAATGAAATTCCCAGGTCCTCCAGCAACGAACACTGCAGTGAAAACGAGTCATAAAAGCATGATGATGTGGTGGAGAGAAAGACGGGACAGATAAAAGTGCGACAGAACACAAGAGAGGTGTTGTAGTCTTCTAGGACTTATTCAGATTTGGTAAACATATGTATCTTACGTTGTACAAGAACGGACAGTGATGCGAATAAGTGGTTCAATTAAGGTCCCAACTGTGAACAAGAACATGGTAAATAGAAGCATAAAAGTTCAACACAAGTAGTTAAGCTTCTAGTGACAAACAAGAAAAACTATCCAATAAGCCAACACTATTTGAGCAGCTTCCTCTTATATGTAGTAGCATACTGCTTAAAAAGAATCTACCGATTAACCATAGCATTCACAAACCCCCGGAAATTATTGGTCATATCCAAAAACTCGGCGTTAGTCAAAGGCAGACGAGCTTCACAGAGGGCTCATCTTTCTCCACTAAAGTACCGTTCATTGATTGGTATTGGTCAAGCAGACCAAAGCCAGAAGTAGACTTCCAGGAGTTAACTAGCCAATCAATTTGACATGTGTCCAAAATGATATTTTAGCCAATGCTCCTGTTTACAAGTACAATGATGAGATAGTGATTAGCTTCCCGCGCGATTGATCCCCTTTTAGCTAAAATTTTTAGTAAACATTCGTAACTGAGCACCCCCTACAACAGAGAAGACATGTTGATGACAGTCTTAGAATCCCTAATTTGTAAACACTCAGCCAGGTGTTGTTTGTTTCCTAAATTCGGCTATTCAGCGATCAAAAGGACGATATCAAGTCAACTGACTCCTCAACTAGCTGCCTTCAATTAAATTGGGAGAAAATGAAATAAGCTAAATGGAAGTGTGAGCCAATTTTCGAAGTGCTATGGGTCACTTGCTTAAATAGTAACTCAAGGGCTACAATAATCAGAAAGCCCAAAGCATGTTAGTTGTCAATGTCATATGCATTTCCTTGGCGGTCGATTATGGTAACAGAATTTGATGTGGCTGATCGCGATGCGCGACAAATATGCCAAAGTATATCTCGTTTATGAAGTCCTCCAACTGAATGTGCTGCACACAGGCCGCCTCGTGATTCAGTTGGCACGATATTCAAGATATCGCAATATATTTTCATACAGGAAACTACTCACAAGATTGCTGAAAACTCTTCAACTTCGATTCTACGAGAGATTCAATTGAGTCACCCATAAAAACCAAACTGATTTGCAAATGAGTGTATTTCTCGAAAACAGTCCAATTTGGGTTCAAGTAGATCATAAGGTTGACGGAAACTCGGGGACTGCGCCTACTTGATGAGCCCCAAGAAGGGCGAAACCGGTCGTGGGCTGTCGAAGAGTTTTCAGCAACCTTGTGAGTAGTTTCTTTTGTGCCGAAAGATAGTTCCGTATGATGAGGACATTCTAGGCCATGGCGAACCCGACTGGCACTATCATTCGGTCACAACACCGCTCTGCTGCGGTTTAAATTGAGGAGTTGAGACTATTATCGCATCTTGTTTGTGGCTTGAGATAATTGTGACTAAATTCATCCGATCATATATGTACTGGTGAGAAAAACGATGGGCAAACACGTGACCAAATCGAGCCCACTTTGGTCAACTAAGACGATACATGCTATACTCACATGCTTAGTCAATCAGACAAAACTGTTAGCTATTCTTATTTGTTCTTATTTCCGTACCCAAAAGAATAGCTGCACTGGGAAGTGCGAGATTCAACACAGATTGCCCGCAGCTACCGGCAATTAGTTATTTCCCATTGGAGGGGTAGACCTAGAGTTAAGTTTGCTGTAAATTGAGCTCACTGTGATCCCCACTGTGCCTGGTTGGAGACACTACAAGATATGGCTGCCAACCGATGTCAGTGGGGTTTTTGTTGTCACTTTCTATCCAGATCGCCTGAGTGAGTGTCTGGAGGTGTAAGCATCTCGGAATGATTGTGGTAAGCTAGCACCAAGTCCCTTCCCCATCCACCTTTACTCTTTTATTTAAAATAAGGCTTTTAAATAAATCATAGTTGTACGGCAGTAAAGCATCAGTGTTGAACACTGATGTCATGCTGTCGATGACGATGATGAGGATGAGCTCAGAAGGAAGTTCCAGTTACTTTCATTGGATAGACTCGGAAACCGGACGGCATTCTCTTAAGACGGATAAACCGAAAGCCGGGAAAATACACGAACATGAATTCCTGATAGCACTGTGTGCTGTTGAATGACAATCAGGTTGAAGATGCGCGCTCAAAAAGATGCCTGATGATGTCGAACATAGCGCTAGTGTTCAATGTACATGAAGCTCACTGTAGAGCGGGATTTTTCTCCTGTAAGCGTGGCGGTTGTATATTAAAACGGGTAGTCAGTGTCAGTGTCAATCAAAATTCAAGACAACAACCGCATGTTCGACCGACAAAATCTACCCTGTTCTTTTACTTTAAACAAAGCATCACTAAACAGGAACCTACAATTTCGAACGTACTGGCAATGCATTGAGGAGGCTCATTAAGATTACCTACCATATGGGCTCTAATGTACTTACAATACTGAAACAACCCTGTCAGATGTTGTTTAGGGCAGTCGTTTTACTAGCATTGTCCAAAACTGTTCAGCGGAATCTGACTAAAACTGAGTTTCCTTCGGTAGGCTGACGTAAATAAACCTAAACAGGTTTGCGAAAACAGCTACCTGAGTAGCATTTGCAAGAGGCGGTACTGTCATATTCGGTTAACGGTATCAAATAACGAAGCCAGAAAACGGATCTGATAGCCTGTCATTTATGGAGCTGTCTATTTGCAGTACGTGACTTCCCATGGCCAATCTCGCTGGCATGGTGGCGTACAACGGTCATCCACAGCAGAGATGGAGCACCCACCCACGAGAGGGTCTTGTCCAATTTCTGATTTGTGAGTCAAAAAACTAGGCTCCCTCAACCGAAAAACTGGTTCATTAACAATGGTCAGTCGATGGGTGTCGGTTTAAGTTCTTAAAAAAAACGGAAATGTAGTATTACACTACCTGTGACTGGGAAGTTTGTGAAGTCTCACAGGTGCCGAAGGGTAGAGTGCTGTTATGACGAATTCCCCTGTGTTCTTGATTAGGCTGATAAAACAGAACCTGAAACGGGGCAACTTGAAAATTTAACCCCATAGTTTGAGCCCTAGGTTTCCACCCCAATGTTCCTAGGTACGTCATTCATGTTGCCAGGACTCTAGGAGTTTGTAGCGCTGACGCCCAAAGACATGATATTTTGATTCAGTGGGTGTACTCACAAGATACACGAAAATCAAAGTTAGTTTAAACATCGAAATCAGAACAACTTGAAACCCGCCTAGTTTATATGGTCACGGAGATGGATTCGATAAAAGTGAACAGACGTGGTAGGTAATTGCATGAAGTTCGGCGGGTTTTCTTGGGAATTAATTCTTGTCACCTAGCTGACGGGAGTGAGGAATCAAACACAGCAGAACAGAAAATAAAGACCAACTTTCCTCTTTATATAGACCGGAAGCGCACAATGAACGGGTCAATACCAAGCTAGAGCTGCGTTAAATAGAGGGTGCCTCTAACAGCTTCTTTTGACAGAGATTCTCCACACCTGCTAAGTCAGCAACCGGTCACCCGTCGAAAGAAAAGTATCCATCAAAGATCACAGTAGAATGGGGACTACTCATATTTTTCCTGATAAATACACTTGAGATGGTACAAACACAACTGAAACGATTATTTCTCCAAGTAGAGGCCACACTTTCCATATGGGAAGTTAAATGGGATATTACCGACTAAGTTTCTTGGGAGCATGTCCAGGGTGAAAAATATCGATGAACTAGAGACATCGTTACTCCGAAGTAGTAAAAGGTTTTGGTTGATTCCAAATAAAAAACCTCCCCAGTCAGGTAAGCAAAAGTCAACAATCAGAGTATTTAATGTTGTCCTCACCTGTTCTGGGAGCATGCAGTTGCGCGCTTGCAGGGCGATATCGACCGACCTCAAACAGATGCGAATAAAATAAGCACGCAGGTGAAGAGGTTCGGAACAACCGTCAAAATCAGCAACGATGGAATCCAGTTGCGCAAATATGAATGAGAGACAACATTCTCGACTTGATGTTGGAGGTGCAGACTCCGTGAGCATCGAGATAGACATTTCAAAGGCGATTTCCATGCGGATACGTGAGAACCACAGCTCCCAATCCGGGGATTCAATAAGTTCTCGGGCAATGACACGGGCATCTTCGAGCACTTCAGGGTCGGGTAAGGAATCGCGCTGGGTAGAGTTAACCAACATGCGGTAGATTGCGCGTTTTCCGAATTCTACAGAATCGTCGTTAAATGCATCACCTAAATACAACCCATTGATTTTATGCCTAAAAAGTAAAAGGGTAAAAATCATAATTTTATTGGGGAAAGACAGGAGACGAACATCGTGCTTCGCTTACAAGTAAGGATATCAACACCAAGAACACAAGTATCCTACACACGCCAAAAGCTTTCGAGAATATTTTTTGGGTGTCTGGACAACATCTTTAGGAGGAGTAACCTTGTAGATAATGACACTAGATAGAATGAAGCTAAGAATAGCAAATGCCCACCGGACGTGGGGACATACCGCTGCAGAATAGAATGTACTTTTGCAATTCGACCGAGACGCTTTAAACGGGACAAAACGTGGAGAACAGTAACTCTGATTCTTTTTCCTGAGCCATTCGGCAACAGGAGATTCTCGGTGGCACAATACAACAGGCGATCAACCGTGTCCAACAGTTCCGGAGGCCATGGTAGGCGAACCACGGAGGCCAATTTGGAAACTGCTTCCAGTTTACATAAGAATGTCGAAATCCAACCGGAAGCCAGGCAAGCCTGATGGATTAGTGTGTTCAAATCATCGGAATGCAAACAATCCGCTGGTTGAAACCGTGTAAACTCGGTACGATCATTGTTGTCGTTCAAGCTGTCTGTCGTGTCTGGCAAGTGCGCGATTTTCTTGATGCGTCCGACCAGATCCAAGGTATAGCCCAGGAAAAATGCATCGTGGTCAATGGCGCGATCCTAGTGAAGGAAGAAGCAAAACCAAGATGACATCAAAAAATTAAGAGTAAACAGGCGTGTTAAAAAAAAGCCTGTACGCCAACTGTGCACTGATTTTGATTCGTGCGAATGGTCGGTCATGTAACTGAAGAATGCTACGGTATACAAACTCGAACTTCAACTTTCCTACGCTTACGGTTCCAACCAACTTATACATTCACTAGGTGGACGAGCATGCATAGTTTGTAGGCGTGCATTGCACATTCAAACTACCAGGAAATATGCAGATGATCCACAATGAGCCATCCTTGTAGACACAGTATGAAGCAGAAAGCAGCTAAAGTTCTAGGACAGAAAATCTGTATTTCAGAAACAAAAACCTGAAAACCAAACGCCAACAAATGCAAAGGGATTAATTGTTCACAGCTGATATGGTGCTGCCAGATTCCCCACACCTCTTCTCATTTCATCAACCCTAATGTTTGACCAGCTGGCTGACAAAGAACAGAAGATTGTACTCCCCTCCAGAAGAAGCATCTCCAATTTGATGAAAAAAGTTCTACTAAACCACACGACAACTACCATTTCGTGCGTTGGTACTGGTTATGCGTCGTGTCTCCTTCACAAGACTTCGGTGTATGAACTTCCCCTTTTGTCTCCACAGGATTTGTATGAAGCCCCCATACTTGGTGAAACCACCCATGCAACGATTCCGCAACGTGCACGCTACAGTAAAACGTAATACCTAAGAGTTAAACCTTACCATACATATAGGAAAGATGTGAATTTCATAAGCTAGATCTATGACCACCTATCACCAATCCACTCGTAAATTCAGCGATGATTCTCCTCATGATGAACTATTTTTGTCACTTGAAGTATAGGGTAGGTTGTTTTTCGAAAACAAGATAGTGGTCGAGGGTGAACTGAGCAATATCATAAGAGTGTAGTATCCTCGTGATCAGTCGATGGTCAATGCAGGTTAATCGACAGCATCCATTGAACTGTGAATCCTTTGGCGTGCTTTAATTTGAGTGATTAGTGATGTCACTTGACCGAAGATTAACTCACTGTAAGGTAGCGAGATGTGACTGTGTCGACATAGTGGGATGACGGCAGGCCGGATTTGAAAGCCAGATCGAGAATACGATAGCCAATCGAGATTTCAGTTTCCTCATCGCAGCAATCCAGTGTTAATTTAAGATTGTATCTGAATGTGGAACAGGGTGAATGGATCAAAAGAATTGGATGATAAAGTACTAATATGGATAAATCGTGGAATCGATCAGACAGTTGATTAAGTGCGGCCAAACTGGAGATCTTATCTGTTCATCAAGTTCCACGGAGGAATGGAAGTGAAATGCATAGCAAGAAAGCGGAAAAACCTAACGAGGCTAAATCGCGGCAAACCTACACATTTGATAGCCCACGTATCCTCAAGTTGACCGTAGTCGAATCATGGATGTGTTCAAACTTTCGGGTTGTGGTTTCCATTTATGGAACAGTTTCGGCTTATATCGAGGGGCCAGTTGAAAATAATTCAGTCTTCCGTTGGCCATATTTCTCAATGCCAAAAAAATAAATAAACTATGCAATGAAGGTACGTAGAGCTGTCGACGCTTGATTCCCCTATTATTGTCACTTGAAGTCTCCACTGGAAAAGGATGGATAGCGACAGCACTAGAGAGTTCCGTCGATCTGTTAGGGGACAGAACTCAGTTAATTAAAAGATCCGATCAGCTGATGCAATTCTCAATTTAAGCACGTAATTTCTGATACTTCTGTAGGTTATTTTGGAAAAGGTATGGAGACTGTACAATTCAAAGTGAACGATCAACGAAGCCGTCAGCGGATAACTAAAACTAAAACTGCGTGACAGCGGGGTGAGCATGACTGGGTGACCGATAACTCTGCAATTAGGAATCATCGCCTACAAAAGCTGAACCTTGTAACCCATCCCCATCAATTGTCCAAACAGTATTCAGTTGCATCCTAGCGTTTACAACAAACTATCTCTAGTTCACAAAAGCATTCAACCAACGAAGATTTACACATTGCTAATTGCCTTGTAGTTTGCAATCATGATGCAACAAACCAAGCATAAATTAATACCACAGTAGAAAATAACAATGTTTCAGTCGAATAATCACTTTGTGTAGTGAAATCGTCCCACTCAGTTCTATAGGGACGACAGTGATGACAACTCCGATAAGGCCCAACTAAGTTATATGATCGCTGTCAAATGCGAAGGAGGGGTCGACCAGCACATTCAGTTGGACAGGATGAAATTCCGTGACGCAGAATTTCAAGCGATTCAACATAAAATCTGCATCCACTTATCCATCGAACCTAATTAGCGTCTCAGAAGATAATCCAGCTGGCCTTAATTATGAATGAGAAAACCGCATGTCAGAAACCTACTTCATTACTATGAGGCAGGCATTAATGCATGAAAAAAACTCGCTTCACGTGGTATGTCCTGGTGGTTTGATCATTTATTGTACACACCGACTATCTGTATACCGAAAACAGCACTGTTTTCTCGACCCCATCATTCCTCTTCCGACAGATGTACGACAGTACTGCAACGACAACCTTTATTCCTTGTTTGATAAAGGGGGGTTGTTTAAGGTAGCAAGGCACCGCCGTCATTTTCAAAGCCTTTATCAGGCCGAGGTGCGACATTCAATTTCATCAAATGTGACACACAAAGTAAGGCAAAACGATGTCACTGTTGAACAGCCTTCCTCAATTTAGTACAGAATAATGAAATTACTCGAGGAAGCCTTCAGAGCAAACCACTGCTGAAGCGAACAACCAATCACAGTAACTTACGAATAGACTAATTTCAGAAAACGGGAAAACTGGGGACATGTAGTGAGGAGCAAGACGTTTTTTACGAAAATTTCAAGTCGATCCAGAATCGGCCGGTACAAAGATCAGTAACCACTCATTATTCGGGAATCAAATAGCACACGGGAAAGTGCAGCCATGGGTGACCAATCCCATCACATAGAAATTTCACACAACCCCCTGTTGTCGTTTAGTCGTTCATTAAGGCATTCCAACCTCCAAGTCTGTGGGAAAACTACCAATTGAGTAGGGAGCGCAAAACCAGGTAAACAATGGAAAATTGTGATTTGAAGAACTGACCCTGTTTGCAGAATTTTGAGTGTGCGTAACTGTTTGTCCAGTTTCCGTAAACTCGACAGTGGGTCGACTTCAGGATCTAGACTTGCGAGACCAGATAGAAACCAACAGACCTCATCCCCAGGAGTGCGAAGAAGAGTATCTTCTGACTTGAAAGATGCAGCTTTTATAAAACCTTCCGTCCACCCCAGAGCGTCTGTAGGCCAGATGAATGGACAGAAGCTGTGTGAACCGATGCTCGTTGAAGAATTTACGCAAACTGCTTGTAGCTGGTAAACGCGTTTCACGACGAACTGAACCAGAACAGGCTAAAATAAAAGCAACAAGGGTAGTAGCTATCTTGTGAAATCTTCTGTTCTTATCGTTAATGTCAAAAGGAACAGCTTCCAAGGCCTACGACTGGCACTCACAGCACAAAAAGTTGGAAACGAGAGTACCGGAATAACTGCCACTATACAGACCAACGTGGTTTTAAAAAAACAAACTAGGTACTTCCGAGAGCAAAAACAATATGTTGATGCGATAAATAACGTTCGCAAAAGTACAACCAACCGTTTGGCAAACGGCGCTCGTACAGAAAAGCTTCAGTTTAACTGAGGTCGGACTAGCGTGACACTGAGAAAAAAATCCGTTTCTCCAGCATAGTTATGGCGTCCAAAAATGCTATTATTCGTGCTTAAACTACTAAGTGACTATTAAGTAACCCGACTTGTCTAGATTCTAACAATGAGGGAAATTCATACGGTACTCCAAACAATAGAGAAAAACTGGCGCTTTCTTCTTGCCAGCAGAAACAAATTAAGATTTTTATCTGTGTGGTGTGCGCTATCTTTTCAAAACGGCAATGTTTTGTCCAGCCTAAACATCAAGACTAGATTACATAAAATTCTTGTGAATCAAAAAAGGTGTAAACCTTGTTTGGGTCAAAGAAAGCAACATAAAACACACCTGTTTGGTAGTATGTTCAAAAAAGTATCCAAAACTTTAACCTATATTGATCGAATTTATTCAGAGCAGCAGATATTAGTGTAGACCGTGGTTGTGGCAGCAACGGGAAATCACCAAATATCAAGATATAGTAAGATGGAGGACCATGCTCGTACCTTACAGTAACATAGGAAAGCACAGTCCCAAAATAAACGGATCATTTCTCAGATGTTTCGGACAGATTTACCCTTCGTCAAAGCGGACATACCTTTTCAATCTAAACACCTGCCCCTAAAGGTCCGCTATAACAAAGCCAACTATTTCACCTCACCAAATTTTTATGCAGTGATTGTGTCCAAAAATTGACCTGGCACAATACAGACTAAGCATAGACTCAACATCATAGGTGTGGAGTATTCCATTATACGGCACTTTATGAACAACTCCCATTCAAAGAGACTAAACATCGTGCGGGCTAGAATAGACTCCGAACTCACCCACTAATGATCTCTCGCAATTGTATCAACTTCCGCTGTGACGCAAAACAAAAGCATTCAAAACACTACCACAGGCCTTATGATGTGACGGTATAGCCACTTGACTGGCTCTTCTTATCAACGTTTTTGCTGAAATTGTTCTCAAACGTCTATTCGCTCACTGCTCCGTGCGGTGAGAAGAGCAACCGGTGCCGTACTCTTGGTATGCCCCTGACCAGTTTATTGCGATCAAGATCAACGAAAACATCCGGTCTAAGCCACTGATTTTCGTCTTCGACGTCCAAAACAACAAACCGACCCATTCACGGTGGAGTCGTGCGTTAATGCACATTTTCTGCTTCAAAGACACAAGGAAACAATGATATGGTTTTAGGCCGCATGTCACACCACTCGGGGACAAAACGACTGTCGTGACGAACGAATAATTTGGCTTCTTTAGGAGACCTGAGCGGCGGAAACTGAACAACACTCGAAAAGTTTGAAGGAAGCATGAAAAACGTATAGAAGCCTAAGTGCCAGTTAGATCAAACAATCTACCTGTGACGTTTTATCACCACCTAATTGTAATGTGACCAGAATAAATCATGAGGCTGATATAATGCTTGACTAAAGAGGCCTAGAAAAAAAGACCGAAAAAGTTTTAGGTGGTGTCGAACCATAGACCCTTGTTATCTGGAGCCCGTTTTCATTTGGAAAAATTACGGTAATCCGGTGTAGTCCCTTCTGATGCTGCATCGTATACATAACCCTCGAAGACAGTTGAGCCCCAAAAGACCGAAATTCCCACTTGTTGGTGGTGACTTCTACAGGGGATTATAGACTCGGAATCTCGCGTCACAAAATAAATAACTCAGACTGTAGATCACAATGACAGAAGGGAACCAGTTGCTAGACGGATACCACGTGGTGAATACTGCACAAGGAACGGTAAGATCCTGTGGGACCTGATCACTTCGAATAGAATATAGAACAGAAAGCTACTTCGTGGACCTAACATGTGAAAGCTGAAGATACCGTTCGGGGAGGTCCTGAGGCCCAGTTAAAAGTTATTGAAGCAGATACGAGACACTAGACCATGTGAAGTCTACAAATAATAATATTGATAATAATAACCGCCATCTGTGGTGTAGTTCTGGTGCGTAGCTGCCACACAATTCGGAGGAAGTACGAGGACTGCGAAATTGCTATGCTGTTCAACCAGAAAACCAAGGTTGGGCTAGAATCACGGATCATCCAGTCAGCAGTCTCTTGCCTTAACTGCTGGGCTGTTGGTAACAAAATTCTTCAACATCCGAGAACCTAATTGGTTTCCTGCCAGAACACATTGCCCAAGCTGCGTGCGGTGACGTTTCGATCAAGATGAACCTGTGTAGGTCAACCTAGCAACGACAGCCGCATGTTTATGCAGAAAAAAAGTTCCACCTAACGTAAGCAACAACTCAGCTGAACAAAGAAAAATGTGTGAATAAGGGTGGAACTAGAGCGACAGTGAATGACTGTTTTAAAGCGCACTGAAGCAGATGAAATTAACTTGAGGAAAAGACAATGCTAAGCACAGAGAAAGAACACTAATAATAGCTCACCAGAGCATCTGAACACCGTAAAATTACAGCATACAGTAGCTCGTTTCTGAGCCATCGGTGAATGGCGGTTTCTGCGGCAACGAAGTCCCGCACGAATTTATGATCGGTGGGCGCTTCTCCAGAATTGTATGACAAAGGTCGCTGAGTCAGAAGATTGCACAGACGTTCCAGGTTCTCCGAATTCAGCAAAGGTAAAAGTTCTTCCTGTGCGATGAGAATACGAAGAAAATAGCTGAGTACTCAGTGCATTCCCATAGAACAGAAGGTTCATTTACACCCAGCTGACTGAACTTAAGTGACAGATGAGAGATATTGCGCTATCTGTACATCCCCACGAACCGCGAGATGTGTAGACTAGGCTGTGACGTCCTCACAACGTCTTACAGTTTACGATAAATTCATGGAGCTACCACAACCTGACGTCAAACGCCCTTTAGGAAAACTTATATTCTAACCCGGAATTCAGCCACGACTTAGAGATACTGAATTATGTTCTCCGGGTACGAAGTTAAAAATCTGTTGATACCGTATAAATTGCTGAAGTCTAGAATGAAAGATCATTAATAACATTATGAAAAGAAGTTCGCAGAACTCGCTAACGGATGGTGAACACAGGACTAATTTGCAAAATCTAAACTTACCTTGTACAGATCCCAGACTAGAAAGGCTTTTCCTGGGTCTCTCAACACAGAATTACGGCAGCTGTTATCGAATTCATCTTGATTCATGAGTAACTGAATGAATAAGACGTAGGCGTCCAACGCGCAGAACCGCTCCCATAAGGTAACACTGAAAGTAAATATGTTGATGTTCGTGTGCATAACACTGAACTCAGCTAAAACTTAACACGATAATGACGTTTAACGTATCGGAGAAAGACATTAGATCAAGCAGTGGAAAAGTTTTTGCCGACTAGCGTCAAACAGAAACCAAAACGTGCTCCACCCACACAAGCATTAGCAAATAGTGGGGGTTAGGTCAACGTGCTGTGGACGGCAAACACAGAATGCGAAGCTCTTGGGTTGAATTTCTTCAGAAACCGGAGTTTCGTCCCGTCAAAAAGAACAGATCCCGAGTACACTACTTAAAGCCAACAGCCAAACTATTAGACTGAAGCCCCTAGAAGAGAATGGAGTGAAGACATCCTCATGGAGGACAATTCAGAATGGGAGACTAGCGAACAGCATCGAGTTTTGCAGTATACATCCGAATGGTATCAACAATCCACTGAATTGATAACACTAACCTGTATCGATGTGGTCCGTAGAGCAAAAGAAATGTTTTAATTCTCTTCAAATTTGTGAAGACCTAATAAAAGAAATACAAGTAGCACCGGCAGTTTAGAGGGTTAGGGAGGACTAAACATGTCATAATTAGCAGCATGCACCCCAAAATAGTAGTGTGTAAAAATGATATGTTCAGTGCACATCAATACGACATGAATCGTGTATTCCAGGTCCAAGAAGACCAAAACAAGGTAAGCTGATATTCAGTAGTATGCAATATGATCACGGATGGTAATGCACAACAGGAGTGTTAGCTCAAAGTTACAAGACTCAAAGGCTATTCGTTGGTGATGTTCACATGCGATCAATCGTGCGACTGAAGGATGAGTGGCGTCATACTCTATCTCCTATCTATTTACTTCCACTGCTGAGTGGCTCATAGTCTAATCGCCGATTGTTCGAATCCCTAGTCAGAAGGTTAGGAGCTCGAATCTCCATTGAGTTTCGTCACATGCACCCAACAAAGACAAAATCGTTGCACACGGCCCGTTGGCTTCCCAACATGAGTTGCCGAAACACGTAAGTGAAAGGTAAAACAGGTCTTAGATTGAGCGGCTAGGTCAAAATTTTACCGAGGTGCATAAATCCGTTTAGTTGTGGTATTCTTCAAACTTATGGCAGCTGTGTAACGCTTTAGAAGCCGTAAGGCCCAAGATATGGGCAACAGCTAATCGAAGCAGGCCTACCTGATGAACTTGCACTCAGTGCCACGTTTCCTCAACTGAACAAAAGTATGTGAAACTTTCAGCGTTATAATTTCGATCCGGTAACAGATCACACCCAAAATCATCGTTTCTTCTACGGAGTGATAAACAACAGAACCTGTAAATCCGTCTCAGAAGGCATCATCATCATCATCAACGACAGCATGACATCAGTGTTCAACACCAATGCTTCACTGCCGTACAACCATGACTTATTTGAAAGCCTTATTGTAAAGAAAAGAATAAAGGTGGATGGGG